AAAGTTATTATTCTTATAATTCGTATTTTGTACTGAACTTGGGGTTAATTGCCCAGCCGGAAGCAGCTGTGAAGCCAACAAAACTGCAGGTGAGTTCTCAAAGGCTTTATGAATGGCCCTGAAATAAAACTGAAAAAGCAAGCATCTGGTATATATATATATATATATATATATATATATATATATATATATATATATATATACATGTATATATATATATATATATATAAATATATAAATAGTAGTGCAAATTTATTATTCACGTTACTGGTGGGGAGGGTAAACTTTCAAGCACAACTCAGATAGAACTAAATAAAAAGGTGCAGAAAGAAGAAAACATATTATTTACTTTACCCTCTTCCTTAATACAATTAATGTAGTTCCAAGTGCTTTGAACTATTAAAAACTTTACCCCCAAAATTGCCATAGACTAAATAATTACACAAATACACATCCCCACCCTAACACAAATATAGACCCACATACACAATGAGCACACAAACAGACCAATGTAAATATATTGGCAGACTGAAGACGACCTTATAAAGCTGACAATGCAATACCATAAAAATCAATTTGTTATTTATCCCCATATAAGATCAATAAGAAAACCAAATATCTACTTACATTCTAAAGAGCTTCATCATTATCTGTTTTACTTTATGAAATATGCAATACCTTTATTTTTTTTCATCTATTACTGATGTATAAACCCAGTGTCATTTTTCATCATGAAAAGCACCCCAGAATAGGTTTCCCTTATAAGCTGAATTTTGCATTCAAAGAATGACCCCGGCATACACCATCCCAACGATGCAAAAGTTTGATTTAAAGCTGTTTATCCAATCTAAACTATCAAATTCATTATTTTTCTGATAATTAATGTCAGATTCCTTTTTACTTTTTAATGAGTATAACCTGATCTATGTGTGTGCTGGAAGCTTCAAAGGCGGCCACATCCACACCTTCTAAACCTCCCCCAAACTCTTCCATAGTTTTTGCTTCACAATTTTCTCTGCAATGATCTGTGTTGCTTTTTCATGGTTTTTTGGCACACATTGTCCTCTCATTTAACTTTCCATCAGTGTGCAGCCCTTTCCTTGAAATTCTGCTTGTCCTCCTCGTGTGTCTCTGGTTGTTTCTCTGATTTGCATTATATAGTATTTTAAATTTCTCATAAAATAAATTTTGGGTCAGCTTAAAACCTTAGGCATCTTTATTTCATCTTTTAGATTTGAATGACTTAGTAATTCTACTTTTCGATATATTTTAATCAGAGGTGGTTCTAGACCAAATGTTCCAGGGGGCCAGAAGGGGGCCAGAGTGTTTTCATGGGGGCACAGAAAAGTGTGAAAAATAAAGAGGGCAAGTGATTCAAATATATTAAGATAGCTGCATGAAGTGACATTTTTTATTAAATTAGGTTTATTGAAATTCTATTTCTTATTAGGTGAATAAACATTCATAATTATGGAATTTTACATATTTTTGACTTAATTTATGTTAAAATTACCGTTTTCTATAAAATCTGAATAAGAACTTAAGAAAAACTGCTGTAAAAATGAGAGCAATTAGTTTTGAAAAAAAAAATGAGCAGATGAAATTCAACATATTCTCATTATCAGTGCTTATGAAATCGTACGAAAAGTTGTGCACACTATTTCGTACGTTTTGGACGTTTTTCCTCAAAAAACCATATCATTGTGCATGCGCTGGCAGACAGAAAAAAAAATATGCATGCGCATGCGACGAAAAAAACGTCCAAAACGTACAAAATTACGGTGCATAACTTTTCGTACGATTTCATACGCACTCATAATGAGAATAGGTTGTGAAATTTGGGATCCTGTCTCAATACCACTGTAGGTATCACCTTATTGTTTTTAAATAATTAATAAAACAACATTTGTAAAGAAAAGAAATGAAATAGATCCAAAGGACCTATCAGTAACCATATCTGTTGCAGCACATATCATCATTAGAATTTCTTTGAGAATTATGTCTTCAACATAGGGGCCATAATAGGGGCCAGGGCATGATCTACAGGGGCCCCGGTGGCCCCTGCCTAGAACCGCCCATGATTTTAATTAGTCGGCATTTATATCCTTATAAAACTTTAAATAAGCTATTATTTACAACTGTCCTGAGGGGATCAGAGGCAGAAATTCTCGTTTCTCTTCCCCTCTCTCTCTTCTTGGGCGAAACTGGCTGAGCTGCCTGTTTTGAATGCCGCCGGAGGTGATGCCATGTCAATACGCAGCGCTGGGACCAACCTAGGAGGCGTAGCTCTTGTAATCTGCAAATGCAGGCCGAGTGAGTGGATCGCATTCAGTGTGCAGGGAGAAGGAGTAAGACGCACAAGTTCTTCTCGCTGTTGAGAGAAGTTTGCCTTTTTAACTCCAGAGGTGATCGCAAACAAATCTGATCCGCAGAAGAGAAACTGTGGGAGAAAAAAAAAAAGAAATCAGGTAAGATTTTTGGGAGAATATGTTAAACTTTTGATTTAGATGCTTTGATTTTTCCTCTGTTCACTTTTCTCCCTGTTTTCTCTTCCAATGAACTTTTTTTTTCTTTTTTACGGAAATATGTTTCCAAAGAAATGTTTCAGTTTTGCTCTGGAATGCTGTGCCTCACTGCTGCATTTGTTTGCCTCACTTCTTAAGTCAGGCTGTAGGGTGAAATCTGATAAAAGTGTGTTGACAGCCTGATCTAGATCAACAAAGACTACAATGACATTGTATGTATTCTGAGATCGCTGGTTCCATTAGGCGCTCATGCGTAATAACGCACCCATCCACACTTGGCCGCTTATCTACGCGGAAACATCGGCTCCGTGCGAAGAGACAGAGATTTTTATCCGGGAGCCTGTCGATCGGGACTGACAGGAGCGGCTTGTGCGGAACATGTTGCACCTGCGCTATTCTTGTCGCTGGCATTTGCACATGAAAACGGAATTGGTGTATTGTGAAACAAATTGCGTTTAGGTCGTCTTTGTAACCGGATAGTGGGGTCACATGTAGAAAAAGGGAGAGGTAAACAATCAGGGGGGTAAAATGTGAGCCTTCATGCGCAGACTGTTGTTATCTCATGTGTTTGGATTTAATTCGCTTGAAGCCCGTTGGGCTACCTGGCACCTTCAGGTATTTTCCATATAATATACAGGAATTAGGGAGCACTGTGTGCGATTATCTCAGGGGCAGACTCTCAGAATTCAAAGGAATCTCCCCCCATCTTATCAAGATCATTTAGTAGAAGGGCATCAGATAGGTTTATCACTGAGTAGAGAGTTAAAAGCCTCCAAGTCAGTAAGAAATCATACTTTATAGGGGCAGAGTTGTTTATTTCGCTGCCAAGTGGGCGCATAAAATACCTGAAGACATCAAGATACCTGCAATAATTATAACATTTCAGATTCCTGCAAAAGCTTTGCAATAAACACAAACGTCAGTTCATTTTTTGATTTATATTTGAAGAATCCATAGAAAGTAGAAAGGTGAAGTGAGAGTAAACGGAAACAGGGTTTTTAGATTATTTTTAGGATCATTGAAACATGTCATATGTACTTCTATTTATCACCTTTTTCCCTAGAAGCCTCTAAATAATGGTGCAATCAATTGCTGCTAGCAGTCATCTCTTTTATAACTAGTCATATTGTCTTTAAATCAATTTCAGCATCGGTATATATCATCTGTCACAGGGCCTTAGATGTTTATTAGAGAACATTAGTTTATAAAACAGTCATATAGACCATAGGACAGAGGATCCCATCTGGAAGGAAATTGTAGAAATGATTAAAGCAGATGTTCAAAGAAAACAATGTCTCAAGCTATGATAATGTGATGCAGCATTGCATATTAGGGCTGGGTATTTCCCCCAAAGTCCTGAATCAATTCAATTTTGATTGATACAGTTCTAAATCGATTAATTTCGATTCAATCTGTTTTTACAATAATTAAAGTGGTTGAACTGTGCTTCAAAATACTCATGTATTTTGTTTTTTCCTGTCACATTGAACACAAAGTGCAAACTTGTAAATCAGACAGTTTAAACATGAGATGTGAACAAAACTTTCTCAAAAGTGCAAACTTGTTTGTAAAAAGTGAAAAAGTGAAGCCTCACTCGAGCAAGCAGATGTGACACAGCAGACATGCATGAGCTGCATTATCTTCACTGCACAAACCATATTTGCAGCGTTGTCTGTAACAACTACAGGGTGTTTTCTGGTCAGCCCCCGTTTGTTGATGTCTTCAGTCAACCTATTGGCTATATTTGCAGCTGTCTGGCTTGAAGTAATCTGGAGTGCATCTTTCCTGCTTATTTGAATGTGAACATCACACGGCTCACTATAAAATTAATCAATCTCATTCCCTAGACATCGATTTTGCAAAAATGTAAAGGAATCGATTCAAAATAGATTAAATCGATGTTTTTACCCAGCCCTATTGTATATCTAAACTTCAAACTTAACTAAACATAAAAATCCACCTTACTGACATTCTTGATAAGAATAGAATTGATCTGAGACTTTATAAACCAAGAGGCTCTTTAGTTTTGACTTGAAATCTTTCTTGCAGCAGACAGCCATTTTAAAATAGGTCTTGTTTGAAGCTTTCCACAAGCTGTGTAGCCATTTCTCTGACAAAGCTATGACTGATGGACAGTACCAGTGACATATGGCAGCATCCTGCTGTGGGGAGGCTTTTGTTCTGCAGAAATGGAGAAGCTGGTCAGAGATGATGGGAAGATTTGTTGAGATAAAAAGTGGATAATACTGAACAAATGTCCAACAGAGACTGCAATAATATTTGACACTGAGGCAGGGCTTCAACTTTTAAAACAAAAATAATCTGTTAGTTAGAATGTGGTGATGTTAATTAAAAAGACATGTTGAAATGATCCAGAAAGGTCACATGCCAAAGGATATTTCGATGTTCTCTCTTGAACTAGACCTATTCTTCACCACAAACAAAAAACAATGTAGCTAAGCTTTTACTTCAGGGATACTGCATATAAAGGTGAACCACACCTTCAACACATTTTTCATAAAAAACAATAATATTTAACCCGTTTTTACTAAAACAAAAATTGTATTTTCTAAAATTTGGACCTAATATTTGTTAAAAAAATTTACATAAATCCGTAAGAAGTGATTAAAAGTTGTCAGACAACTGGTTCCAGGTGTCCTTTTTCAGCATTTTTTCTAAAGACCTCTTCATTCTGTGTGACTGTGTACCAATTATCACGTGTGCAGCATTAGTCTCCCACACAGACAGATGTCTGACACGGTCACATTTCACAGCTCTCTGGCGTGCTGTGGCAACCATTGCTCGGTGACCCTGTTTTTAACCCTGTTCGAACCGTTTTGCAGCCGTCAGGCCCCCCCTGCTGATCTCTGCACACATTTCACTTTGTGGGCGTAGAAGTCAGTGAGGGGCAAACAGCGGGGTTAAGCCACTCGTGTTCTGGTTTTGATCCATCACCTCTCACCTCTGATCTCTCACACTGTGGTGGGCTGACAGTTAGCAGAGAGAGACATTGCAGGAAAAAGCTGACAATGCGAACCAAGCAGGGGTGGAAATAGTGTCCAAAGGACTATAGACGCCTACTCCTTTTATCTGCCCGACTGTTTCATTTGCTTACATGCACCCCAAGTTTGAAATCTAATGTTGTATGCCTGTTTTATTGGAATCAGATGTTGGAAAATGACGCATTCGAAGCCATGTGCAATCTTTTCTTTGATCATCTGGGTGGTGACAGCTGATCTCTCTCCCTCTCTTTCTCTGCCTCATGAAGAGACATGGGATTTGATGTGTTTTACAAAAACAAGCATACTTAGGGTGAAAAATCCCTTGAAAGAGGCATCAGATTTCCCAGCCTGACCAGTGCTTTATCTTGGAATGCCCAGAATGCTCCGGAAATACACAGTGTTTGGATTTCTCGATCCTGCTTCCTTATGTCCACTCTGCTCTCTCTGCCAGTGGAGCTAATATAAACATTTATTGTGCATCCCCCAGAGTGCACATCAATCATTGAAAAACCCCACCATTTATGACAGACTAACAGGGAGGTGTTATTAACTCATGAATGCAGTGTTTTAACAATTTAACCACATTAGGTATAGGTTCTTCAGGGTCTTATGTTTTATTAGTTCAGATGTAGTAAAATAAAACAAGCTTGATGCAGCTGCATAAATCTTCATCTACAAGTGTACCAAGCCGAATTTTGTTGCTGATTATAGATTTCCAGTTTGAAAACCTTTGACCTGAAAATAAGGATTTGTTTCAAGGATTGTGTTAAAAGAAATATAGAAGAAACCTGGGAAATCCTTTAACCTCACCCTAAGCTTTTATTGATTATGCATGCCAATTAAGCATGAGATAAAAAAAAGCAACATTTCCAAATTCATCAAGTTCCAAAGAAGCTGAGATTGAAAGCTTTTAAGAAAGAAACACATGAAGCATGCTGCATAACGTCCAGTCATCCTGTTTGATCCCATAAGTGCTGCTATCTGTCACTGTTTCTCTGCCTCAATGAGCTGCACACTTATATAAAAAATGTTTCCTTGTAAATAACATTAACTTCTTTCTTCACCAACAACTTTCAAACCAAAGATGATTGTTTTGAATGCACTGAATTGATTAGCCATGGCATATCAGTTTTAGTTGGCAGATTCCACTTACTTGTGCAAGCTGTTTATGAAAATTGATGATATTGTTTTTCTGTTTTTACAGGATCTACCGCAGTTTGCTCTTTGGTTTGTATTACCTCCCAGTGGTCTGCAGCCTTTGCCTAGTGTTACAAAATGAGCTTCAGTGCCACCGACTTGGAGGAGCTGATGGAGTCCCTTGGAGACCTGAATGTCTCCGACTCTTTCAGCAACATAACACGAGTGGATTTGGTGCTGTGTTCGACATCTATTAACCGTGATGCTCTGCTGTACTCCATGTGTGTCCTCTACACCTTCATCTTCATTGTCGGCCTGGCTGCTAATGCTCTGGTCCTCTGGGTGAACATCCGTGCCCAAAGAGACTCCACCCCTCGCCATGAGACGCATATGTACATTGCCCACTTGGCAGTGGCAGACTTATGTGTGTGTGTCACTCTTCCTGTGTGGGTCAGCTCCCTGGCCCAGCATGGCCACTGGCCATTTGGCGAAGTGGCCTGTAAACTCACACACCTGCTCTTCTCTGTTAACCTCTTCAGCAGCATCTTCTTCCTGGCGTGCATGAGCGTCGACCGCTACCTAAGTGTGAAGCAGCACAGAGAGGAGGGAGGTGCGCGCAGGAAGTTGATCCGCCGCGCTGCATGTTTTGGAGTGTGGCTTCTGGCTCTGGTGGCATCTTCTCCTGAAACCTACTACCTGCATGCTGTGAAGTCATCGCACGGAGACACTATAATGTGCAGGGCGGTGTACCCAGAGGAAAACCACTTGAAGTGGATGGCGGGAGTGCAGCTCAGCTTCATCCTGCTGGGCTTTGTTGTTCCCTTCCCAGTCATTGCAGTGTTCTACATCCTACTGGCCAGAGCTTTCAAGCGCTCATCATCAGCATCATCCTCCCATGTGGAACAGGAGCGCGGTGTAAGCCGCAGGGTGATTCTAGCATACATTGTGGTTTTCCTAGCTTGCTGGGGGCCTTATCATGCCGCTCTGCTCGTTGATGCGCTGACGCAGCTGGAGCTGGTGCCATTCACTTGTGGCCTGGACAATGTGCTCTTCATAGTGTTACACCTCACCCAATGCCTGTCCCTGTTCCACTGCTGCTTCAACCCCATCCTCTACAACTTCATTAACCGAAACTACCGCTATGACCTCATGAAGGCCTTCATTTTTAAATACTCAACTCGGACTGGCCTGGCACGTCTCATTGAGACTAATAACGTGTCAGAGACTGAATACTCAGCTGTAGAAAACCCACCTCTGATCTGATCTCCATGAGTCTAGTGGAGTGTGAACTTGTGCTACACTTGATTTATCTGCTACAAACCAATCCAGCATCTTTTTCACAAACATCTGCTTTAGTCCTTGAAAAACTTGAAGACTGATCAAAAAGCACTTAAAGCAGTCTATAATAGCAGCTGACTAACAAATCCTTGTATATGTAAAGCCAAAACTGTGTGTAAATTGTACAAAGTGGTTTTTATTATGTATGGATGTTCTGAGCATTAGTGTGTGCGTGTACCCGTAAAGTGCAAGATGTGTATTATTATCATCTTAAGTATACCTTTGTATCTGCCTTTTTGTATTTATATGAATTTTTTACACTGTTCTTCTATTGTGTTTTGATACAAAGTCTTCGCACAGTTATTCAAATGGGAAAACATTTCCTTTAAGCTTTAGTCCTGCTGCTTCATTTTGATTCATAACCTCATTTTGCATCAGCTGAAGCCTTCGAAAAAGTGAAATTTCTTTTGAAAACATCCAAATATATGCTTTTCAATAGTTTTTTTTAAATCTTTGTTTAAATATTAGCAGTGCTTTCCCATCTCTTAATTAGGTATAAACCAACAGAGCTTCTGCTACCCATACCTTGCCCTCCCCAAAAAGCTTGAAAGCATTGAATTTTATGAATCCTTAAATTATTTTTTGCATTAAGTAACTGTCTGTATTCAGTGTAAATCTTTATTAATTGTAAATCCAGATTAGATACTCCCGTTTACCCAAACCACCATAATTCAATCAATTGTGCATCTATGAATAAACCCAAAGCTGGACACCAAGGGATAAAATTTGATGTGTTACTAGTATGAAGATATATGTTCTTTACTGTATTATTTTGATATTATTTTGTAGTTGGTTTTGTGTTAAACTTTATGCTTTAAAAAAAAAGTTTTATTAGGATAAAAAAAGAACAGAGAAAGAGTTATCTTTGAAAGACAACAAGCATTCCCTTTGCTTTGTAATGTATAGCATGTGTTATGTTTAATAATAAAAACAGTAGAAATTTTACTTTAGCTTCATTGTTGTTTGTTATATATTTGTATCCTTCTTCCTTTTGAATACATAAATGACTGTTAACTCACTGGCAATGATGAAATGTCTTTAAGGTTTAATGTTGATTGAATGCATTTTTTTTGTATAAAACCATTTGCTGCTAAGCCTAAGTTATCGAGTTCAAAATAAACAACAAAAGCATCAAGCTTCTGCTCCAAGAAAAGTAAATAAGTATCACTTTCTGAGGTTTATTCCAGCTGTCATGTGAAACATACACTAAGCTTTAGTCCAGCCATGGTTCAATTGTAGAAATTTAGAGGAAAAGAAGAAAAAAAAGGCATTATTCAGTTACTGACGCACAAGGCACAAAAAGAGTAGAAACACGCTGTTCTCTTTAAAAAAAAAAAAAACAATGCTAATTTATTTTGAGTGTCTCCTTACAAAGATGTCTTTAGTGTAGTTTGGTTTATGGTCTTTTATTTCTTGACAGTAGTTGGCACGGTTGCCTTGAAGAAAGATGCCCCTGGGTTAAATCCCATAGTAATGCTTGTGTTGGTTCTCTCTGGGTACTCCAGCAACTGTCTATATACAGTTCCCTCTAAATTGCCCTAAGGGCCAAATGTGTGCATACATGGATGTTTGTCCTTTTGTTGCCCTGTGATGGACCAGCAGCCTATCCAGGTTTTACCCATCCTCTCACCCATAGGCTGCTGGACACATCGGGAACCCCTTGACCCTGTAAGGATTAAATGGGAACAGAAAATTAGCATTGGTTGAATAAAATTCTGATCTTTCCCCCATGGGAGTTTTTACATTTGATTTCAATGTGCTAGATGTAAAATTGCAGGAAAACCACTAAAATTCATAACCAATAAAATACTTCAACCTTTTGTACATCTTTTTCTACATATTCTCTATCTTCTCCGTGGTATTTAGTCACATTTCTAAGACCCTTGAGAAGCTTGCAGAGCTAGTGGCACAGTCCTGCCTCACTGTTTCACGTTAGTCTGATAAGACAGCTTGCACAGGGAATTTCGAAGGTCAAACTAAGTGAGTGACCTGCTAACGATATCCTCCAGTTTCCTTTCTCTCTCAGACACAACCTTGATCTCACAGCACACCCAATGTGAAAAAGCCTCCTTCCTTTTTTGTGAGTTATTTCCCAGTGCAAACTTTGTTATCTGACCCTGGGCATACCTTCCAAAGACTTTTTAAAGGTCAGCGACCATCCACTTTCCAACTGATAGGGAAAGAACACACAACACTTTGAAGGAATGGTACTGAAGGCTTGTTTGCTACTGAAAGTGATCACTATGCAAGTGGATCTGAAACAGTTATGGGTCCTAATGAAACCCATGTGCTGCAAAACGCTGTGTGAGTGCAATTAAATGCAAACATGCATCATTTTGTCAAAGACTATGCAAATGAAATAAACTGTGCTATAAAACATTAAAAGAGAGATAGGTCTTCTCAGCAGCAATGTTATAAACATCTTCCCTTTATTACTGGAGTTGAAAACTGTTTTAGTGCAAAAGAGATATTAGGAATTATGTTATTTTTGCACTAACCCAAAGTCATAAACATTAAAGAACTGTGTTATCTACATCTCAGTTGGCCCATATTTCCAGTTGCAAAGGTATTTGGTTGAAAGATCTACTAAAACAAGAAGATGTGAGAAGATGTGACTTGGCAACCAATCAGTTACCAATAAATCAGTTACCAATAAATGTGCATAAATGTTTTTAAATGTTTTTATATTATGCAAAAATCAACTTTTGAAAACTTTTGATGATATCGTTATAATATATTGCTTCATCAAAATCATGCCCTAAGTGCTATTTTCATAGATCCACCCATGTTTGAGTAATCATTTTGAATTCCTCTCTCTGAGTAACAGCCCCTCCCTGTCCTGGAGACAGAGAGGTCATCAGCGTTTTATGATCAACAGTCATTACCCAGCTCCTCCAGGAAGCAACTACTTTGACCAAGCCAAGCCTGGCCTGCCCTTAACTGGCAAGTGGTGATGTGAGGCAGCAGGAATCACTGCTGCTTAAAGTTGAGATGAAAAGACTCTTTTTGCACCAAGTATGCACGGTCATGAAACGGGCGGCTCAACCAAGGCAGCAACACAATGAAGGCAAAGTGTCTTTCTTCAGGGTTGGCTCCAGACAACAGCCAATGATACAAATTAATGTCTATGTAGTGCCAGTGGTGATATTTCATGAGTTTGGGAGGCTTAAGAAACATCAAATAGATTATTTAAAAGAAAATGAAAACATATATTGAAAACAATTATTTAGACTTTACTATAAATGTCATATACATACATTTGAGAAAGTTTTTTTTAAAAGAAATCTATTTACATAACTCAATAAAAAACAGAATTCCTTATATATTATGTAGATGCTATGTGCACAGAGTGACATATTCATAGCTATTGTTTAAGTATTTATGCAGAGTTCTTAGTTGGATATCTTTGTACAGGAATTGCTGAATCTTTGTAAAGTCGCATGAAAGTTTTGCCTATGCTTGTTTTGACATACTCCAAAGATTTTCAATGGGATTTGTTCCGCATAGTTTGGTTGTTTATCATGCAGAGTTATATTATGGTCCTTAAATCAGGCACTGGTACTTTTGGCATTGTGAGGAGAGACAATTTCTACTGTAAAGGAAAATCGGCATCTCCATAATGCTTGTCAGCAGAGGGAAGCATGAAGTTCTTTAAGATTTCTTGCGTTCCTGTTTTAGGTCTCTCTTGTAAGCAAGACTTAAATTAACTGTTTCAATAAAAGAAAATATTCTGATTAATAGTTGGACTAACTTTAAAATTCAAAGCACAGGGGACCTACACTAGCGAATGACAAAACAAATCAAATGATCCCTGACAACTGAAATTTCTTACTGGATCTCAAACAACATGGAATCTTTCTCTCTCCTATTTTATGCAGGGGATTTTGATTTGAAAATCATTAGCTTAAGTAAGACACTTATGTTTCTGGTTCAGCAAAGTGTAACCTATGTCTTTGATATGTCTGTGTGCAGTGGCTCTTGAATCATTAACTTTTATTTTACAAAACACATCTAATCTGCACCAAATTCTTTAATGAACTAGGCCATCTCAAGGCCATGGTTCTTGTGTTTACACCTTTTTCTGC